TGCGCCAGACAATTAATCGGGATTGTATAGCAGACAGAGAGATTGAAGATATAGACGGACAATTGAATCAAGCGCGATAGTAAGTAAAGTGCGTGAACGTTCGTTGTAAATTATAGCGTATGTTTAAGTTAAGGTGACTGTGGAAATTAAGTGTATTGCAAAGTTGAATTGAGAAAGAATAAACTAGTTTTATTTAAGAAAGGACTTGTATCGCTGAAGTTTTTCGGAAATAATTTCTACGGAAAATTAACAAACGACCAGAGACGTAACAATATTCTGCTTTTCTTTGTTTCGAATTACTGCCGGCTGTATATGGTTCTGTTTGCTTTCAATTTCAGTTTAAAGCAGCTTTACCTTGCCTTCGCTTTTTAGTTCTATTTCTTAGAGTTTATTTGAGGGACAATAAACTCTGAGTTATGCTTTTTATTAAGTCTTTTAAATATTCGTCACAATATTTGTTTTATTCTCGCTTTGTCTTGTCTGTCTATTGCTGAATTTATCTCTCTTCAACATCAATGACAAATCATATTGCATTATTTTCCGTATACTAGGCCCTAGTTCTTCTTTGAGGCCCGGCATGGCCAGGTGGTTAAGGCACTCGGCTCGCAATCTGAGGGTCGCGGGTTCGAATCCCCGTCACACCAAACATGCTCACCCTTTCAGCCGTGGGGGCGTTATAATGTGACGGTCAATCCCACTATTCGTTGGTAAAAGAGGAGCCCAAGACTTGGCGGTGGGTGGTGATGACTAGCTGCCTTCCCTCTAGTCTTACACTGCTAAGTTAGGGACGGCTAGCGCAGATAGCCCTCGTGTAGCTTTGCACGAAATTCAAAAAACAAACAAACAAGTTCTTCTTTGTTATAAAGGTGATGAGATAACTGGGTATTATTTCCATTCCAACTCATGGAATACCACAGTAGCTTTATATTCTGTCTTTTTTTTATAATTTGTGATACTGCTTAGGAATATGATTTATTTTGCATTGTTTTGCAGTAACGTATTTGTGTCATTTAAATTACTTTGTGAAATGACGTTTTTAGACATACAATATACTTATAACAAACAAATAAAAAGTACTGTTGTGGTATTCTCGGGTGAATTCATAACCTTAGAGTTTAGAATTGTACCGCAATTATTTGAGGAACATCAGGAGATATATAGCGTAATTAAATAAAGTTTTTTGACTGTAACTGAGTTTGAAGAAAGGGATGAGACACAGTGAAAAACAATTTCTTATTAAGATTGATTTGTTTGGTTTGTTTTGAATATCGCGCAAAGCTACTTTAGGGTTATCTGCGCTAGCTGTCCTTAATTTAGCTGTGATAGACTACAGGGAAGGCAGAAAGTCATCAACGCCCACCGCCAACTCTTGGGCTATCTAAAATTCAACACGTTTTCATGTTTTACAAAACATATTTCACATATAAGCGGATATTCCATACCATACTAAAATGCTGGATTGAAAGTAATTTGGTAAAGAGAAATAAATACGTTTGAAGACAAAGTATGGAAAATGCAAACTTTAGTAACAATACTATTTTCTTATGTTTTGCCTCCATATTACCCTCATCAATCTTAAATATGCGTATAACAAGGTAGTCTTTAAAGTTAAATAAATGACAAACACACTAATTATTTAAATAAAACAAGCTGTAAATAGCCCCTTACCAAGCTAATAATGAATCTGAATGTACAAGAAAGCTTCAATATTAATTCGATCTCTTATTCATAGATGGCAGTAACCGTTCGATGTTATCTGAATTAACGCGGCATATTGCAGATGTTTGAGCAGCTGCGTTGTTGTGAGGGTCAGTTGAGCCGGCAAAATTCAATCATTTGGATACTGCAGTTGTGAAGTGACATTGTGTTGGCTTAATTGATTTTTAAAGTCCAGTTTGCTTCTTTTCATTGAAATAACTTAAGGCATTCACATGCTCAATTCTGTATGGAACTTATGTCGTTCTTGTCCTGTGCCGACGGATGAAAAACCAGTGAGTATTGATAGTTGACAGCGTGCACTGCAAATAACAATAATTAAAAGGGAATTGTTAATTAGATCTCAGTTTCAAATTTAACAACACAAAGAAAACTAAGTTCTAGATGCATAGTAGTTTCATATGTTTTAATATAATTTATCTAAGATACTGTTATAATGGCACTGAGAAATCATCATTAATTTCATTCTACTTTTTTTTTATTAATATTAATATTATTTTAATTTTTGTACTAGCTATTGAATACAATCAGTAGAAGCAAGTAAAATAAAACACAAACATAAGCCATATTGGTATGAACTTTAATAATAATCAGTAATTTAATAATATATTAACACTTTCAATTTTTATTAACATTAACAATATTACTTGTGTATTTATGATTTTTTATAGATGTAAGAAAAATGTGATAAAAGTAATTTTTCTCTGACCTTTTCCATCCCTTTTGAACCAATTTACTCTGAAGTTTTTTCAGAATCTGGAAATATATTTTTTTATGATTAATGTCATAACTATTGAACTATTTAAAACAACTTATGTTTTTCTAAGTATGGGCTCTATCCACTCATCTGAGAAAACCTAATTTTTTTTTTAGTAAGATGGTTAATAACTTTTATTTCAATTTGTTGTTATTAACTATTTAGTAACAACTTTTTTGAAAAAATAAACTGAAATTAAAAACATAATGTTCTATTTCTAGCAGTTTGTAAGGTGTGAGAAGTGAAAAAAATATTCTTAGTTTTTAATAATTTTGTATTTATTCCATAGTTACATACAGAATATAAGCGAAGTTTCACGTGGCATTCAAACCCAGACGATGTGGTTCAAAAACCCCCAGAGAGTGGTGAGTTTGTTTTTTGTTGAGATTTAGAGAAATAGAACATGAAAAATATCACCTATTTTTTTATATGTTTTCACACTATATTTGTTTTGATATTTGTTGAGTTATGTTTAATTAACTTAATTCTACATTTAAAAATTCTTGATATTTATAACAACTTAAAAAAAAATTGGACACGAATCTTTGGCTGCATATGAAAGTTATGGTATATTATTTTTTATGTGGAAGAAAAACATCATAATAAAATGAAAATAGCTAATATGTTGTCTTAGGATTTGAGTGTGATGAACTTAACCCTCATTTTTACTTGATGCTTAGATTTTGAAATAAAATGTTACCTTGGAATTTTCAGCTAAACATTTTTTATATTACCAAAGTTTATTTATGTAAAAATGCTTCAAATATTTAATAAAGTTTCACATTTAAGTTTAGTATATTCATAGCTCTTTCTGTTTTTCTTAAATGAAGATTTAGTTGCTTATTACCTTAGGAAATTGTTCAGAAATATTTTTTTAATAAATTGAAATATGGAAGTCACTTCTAAATAATATAGTGCAAAGTTTTGAATCATAAATAAAGTATAAAAATTTAATTGTTTATAACTAAGAGATTTAACTTATTTTGCAAATACTTAAATATTGATTTTTGAAAATGGTATGAGCACATTTTACAGATCAATGGTTTTGTAAGATTTGTCTTAAAATAAATTGAATATCTTTTTTTTTATGTTTTCAATGATATTCTCAAAGTTCAGTCTTGGCCAGTTTAAAATGTCATGGTTGCTATGGTGATCAGACTGTGAAGGTTAATAACCTTGTACATATACATTAGTTCTTGATCAGTGAAGCAATAAGTAGAAATGTTGTTGACTAATGGTTAGGTATGTTGAAAAAAGTGTTATGTAAGACAAGTTCAGGTTGATAAAGAAGACTTTTAAAACAGAAGTAGGTAAACACAAATATTATTTTTCTATCTATTTTTTTATTAAAACATACACTAGAGTTTTTACTATTAACTCAAGACTTGTATGTTTTGTAATTGATATATATATATATATAATAAGTTCTTTGTTTTTCTTTGCAATTACTTGTGATACTGTAACTTACACTAAATGAGTTTGAGAAAGTACTTGTAGGAAAAGAAATATAATTTATGTACATGTGTTATGGACTGCACTGTCTGGTATGAGCCGTAGTTTATTGATCTTGGATATATGCAGTAGTGTAAGAGCTATAGAGTATTTTAGGTTAACCATGAATGTTTCTGTGCACTGTAGAGGTACAAGTTTACCTTTGCTTTTTAATTATTCTATGATGTATAGCATGTTTAAATTGGGCTAACCTTATTTAAAGCATACACTGGTTGAATGAAATACTGTAAAATAAATTATGCATTGTATGTAGGGTTAACGAAGATATGAAAGTTTTAGGTCCTATTGCAAAACCACAATTCTCTGTTCATCTGTTGACATTGTTGGAATGCTTTTTTCTCTTAAGAATGTTACATGTGTCTAATATACATGTATTTGTGTTCATTAAATTTCATATGAAAACAATATACAAACACCAGACAGAAGAATCTGTAATAGATATTGCTGCCATTCATTTTCCTTTAACAGTAACATACTTTAGTTTTTTTTCTTCGTCCTAAAAATAGTCAAATAATCATAATTATTCATGGAAAAAGTTAGAAGTATGCTATCTTTCCAAAATTCACTTGGGAAATACTTTAAACATTTTTGTGCTAATTAGAAAAAGATGTGCTTAAAAAATAGTATCTATTTCATTTCACAAAGCTTACTGCTGCTATTTCTTGTGATGTTCTTTGCTCTGTTGAATGTACACTTCAGCATTAGGCTTTCAACAGACAATATTTCTAGTCCTTCAACCAGTTTAGTGTTTTGGCTCAGCCTGAGTATTTAGTATGCAGGTGATACATGTTGTATACACTTACAATGGCAAACTCTGTGTTTCATCTTTACCTAGAAGTGTACATGTACAGTCAATGTAGTTATGTGCACTTTTTATGCATACAGTTAAATGTCTGTATGCAAGTTTATAATTAATCTAAAAATGGGTTCACCTATAGACAAAAACTTCACCTAACATCCAATGGAAGCACAACTGTCTCTTACAATCAACTTAATTAGGCTGATGAGAATGGATTTTGTTGATGATGACAAATTTCTATTGGTTATAGTGAGTAGCAACTGAATTCAAGCTACTGAAATATAGTATAAAGTATCAATCATTAAAATTAAATTAATGTGTCTTTTGATTAAAGTATGATGTAAACTAGACAAAATACTGTTAAGAATATGATTTAAAACAGGTAAAATACTGTAAAAAATGTTATGTAAACCATGTAAAATACTGTAAACTCATATTGATTACAATGCACTGCTTTATTGGCTTGACTTCACTTGTAACAAGGTTTCATCTTATTTTTAAAGTATGAAAGAATATTTAGATTAAGTTAATAGTAAAATAAACTTGAAATATAAAAATCTTTTAATTTTTAATAAGTAAATTCATAGCACTCCAGTAAATACCCAATATTACTCATTATTTTTTACATATACTTAGCAGTGTACATCAGACAAGTTCCTTTGTGTATTAAAAACAAAACATGTCAACAAATACATATTAGGCACTTCTTTGTGAAGTATGCTGATCTTAATGCACTGACAACCATTGTTGGAGCTAAGAAGACATTGAATTATACAGTTGCCTTTTTCTATTTACATAAGAGTAATACCAGTTTTAGTAAATATGTGTGGAAGTCATCTAAATAGAGCTACTGGCCAATCAAAAACTTTACTCCTAAAGCAACATGTAATATAATTCTTGTAGGTTAGGTTCATGTATTGTTGTAACAAGCTATGAAATCACCATTGGAAATAGACAGAGAATATCAATGACTAAAGAATCCCAGTGAAGTTGTTTAATTCTGCTTATCCAAAAGATAGGAAAATATCTTTTATTGTGAATGATTTAGGAACATAAAACTGGAAAATAATGATTTAAAGAAAAAGCACTTTCTTTCAACCTTCCTGTTATTTGAAACTCGCATAACATGGTCTTGAGATAACTAATTAAATACTACAGTGTTTATAGTTTTTAATACCGTGTATATAGTCTGTATTTCAAATTGTAAATGTTTAAGAGCTTGAAACATCAGCCTTGTATTATTTATTATAGTTACTTTTGAAAAAGTACTCTATAAAGTATTCTGGGAGTGGTTATGTCAACTTCTGCTTTAATTATTTTCAACTAAAATGTAGGGTTTGTTCTTATAGTTATATTGATTTCAGAAGTGTCATTCTTATTGCATTTTTGCCATATAATGATGTTTATTAACTAGATTCATAGGGAAAAAAGATTATTGTTTTATTCAGATGATATATATGTTTGTTCACCATGTATGGATTAAATTGCCCCAAATTAATTTTCAAAGGTAAAAAAACAAAACAACAACACAAGATTTAAAAGTTAATGTCTTCTGAGAGGAACATCATTATACTATTTATTATATAATATATTAATATTTTTAGTAAGAAATATTGTTGAACAATGATGTGACAGTACAATTTAATTTATATTTTAAAAAACGTCCAGTAGATGGCACAACCATCGACCTATCTGGATTTCAGGAAACTATTTTTAGGATCAAATATATATATATATAAAAGAAAAATTATTTTCATGTTTTTTTATAAGAAAAACTATTTTACACATGTTTTTCTCGAATTTGTTAAGTCCTTATTTTACATATTTGTTAAGTTTGATCTTGAACAAGTAACTTTTTATGTTAAGAATTATGTCATTGTGACACAGCTGGTCAAATATACCATAGACTATTACATTAATTTACTTATTATTCTAATGTAAACACACTAATTTACTAACTTGAGTCATATAACTGTACCCACATGGATTACACAGCCATATCTTTTAGGTAAATCACTTTATCCACATAGATTATACAAGTATAGCTTAACCTACACAGACTACAACAATACCTACAGAGATTATGCAGTTATAACTCAACCTATATAGATTAGATCAGTACCTACAGACACTTTACAGGTGTAACTTAACCTACATAGAATAGAACAATACACATATAGCTTATACATGTATTGCTTAATTTACTTATATTCATATATGAGATATATGAGAAGCTTGGAAAGACTTAGCCTCCTAAAATGGGTGAAGAGAGAGAGAGTTTATCTCTGACTCCCTGAGGGGAACTTCTCCTTGAACACCTATCGTGGACAAAAAACAGCCTCTCCAAATAAAATGTCCCTTACAGATCAATATTTTCACCAACTTAAAAATATTTTACAGTATATGTCACAGAATAACCTACACACAAACAAAAGACTTACCAGCCACCTATGCATGTATTACAACAATAATCACACAGTTTATATAGTTGTAACTTAACCTATATAGACTACAGCATTACCTAAATAAATTATACAGGTATTGCTTAACGTACAAAATTACCTACATAGATTACAAATATGCACATGCATTGTAATTACACAATACCTTATCACAGTAACTACATTGATTAAAATTGCACATGCACAGACAAACTCATCTCACATATGTAGCTTTAATAACTCTGAAACTGGCACTGTTAGTAATAGAAGTGATCAAGTTAGAAAACTGACTCCAAAAGTTTTGTTCAGTATCTTAGGATATAATCTTTATCAAATGACTTTTTGTGAGTGCAGGTGTGAATATTACCCCAGAAACAGTAAGATACACATTACCATGAAGCGATCTCAGTGGAAATGCATTATCTGCTTTTCAAAATATTTTCATTATTCTGAGTTTATGCAGCTTTGACATAAAAACGTGATCCAGAAAAAATTAAGTTGACTTCATTCTACCTACCTTTGTTCCTTTATAGATATAGCACCTAATCTGTTTGCAGGGGATATTACTGCAATGCTGTACATTGTGCAAGGGGGTCATTGATGGCAGTGTCCT